AGTATTTCGTTCAAACGTGTATAATAATTCATAAGATATAAAATATTAATTACAAATAATGTATTATATAACTCGAATTTATTTGCGCTCATTTTAGCACAATATAGAGAAGAAAAGGTTTTAATTTGAAATGTCATATTAATTCAGAGTAAGCTTTACATTTTAACAATTTTATCCTTCCTAAAAATTTGAATTTTATGCTAGTTTTTCATTATATATTAAAATATTTAACATTTTAAAATAACCATCTATCTTAAATTCATGTCTGATTTCTGACTGAATATTTAGTGCGAAATCAAATGTATTCACTGACTAATTTTTTTTTTTTTTTTCAACATATAAAGAAAACATTTTAGTAAAATCTATTGCTTTATTGTTTTGATGGGATTCTAAAATGTTACAATGAGTTATTATTATTATTTAAAATCGTTTACTCTTTAAAATAATTTAAAAATAAATATATGAAGATAATTATATTATAATATTATAATCCATATTATAATTATTAATATAATAAACTTAATCATATTTATTTTCAAATAATCCATAATAAGTATTATAACTTGAAAAATATAGTTAATACCTAATTTTTAATGAGTATACCCAATGATATCTCAAGATGATAAATACTGTTTATTATTGTCAGACAAATGTATTTTATTATACAAATTTTTTTTTTTTAAAATATCGAAGATTGAAAACACTTCAATGTAATAACATTATATAAGTATAATTTTGGTTACTTTTATTCACAATCTGTGAGCGATTAAACTCCTTTTAAAATTAATACATTAGATATGATATAGGCTCAAGATCAAATTAAATATAATTAATTAATTTAGGTATTTTAATGACTTTATATTATGCTTAATTTAATTATGTATAGTATATAATCAATAAATCTAAAAATATAAAACTATAATACCACGAAAACGTTTTATTGCAGAGTCAATGAGAAGACTGTGTATTATTTATTATACAAGTAATTATTTAAATTAAAATATCATTGGATTCTAAAGCATTTAGTATATTTATTATTGATGTATAATATATTAAAATTATATTTAATATCTCGTATTTACCAGTTTTCACTTATAAATATTAAATTATATGAAGCTATTGCATTATCCCCGAAAATCGATAGTCTTTATAAGATATTTATGAATATAAATAGTTATGAATAAGTATTAAACGCTAAGGTACAAGACATTTGTGGTCTAGAAAATTTCAATTATTTCTTGAAATACGAATAAATAAAAACATGTAGGAAACTCTCATTTAGTTTTAAAAACCTCTTATGTTTTATTTAATGAATAATTAAAATTATAATATGTAGGATCTAAATTATTTCATTGAATTATTCTTTTAAGTCAATACCTTCAAATACCTAGATCATTCTTTTCATCATATTTTCGTCATTGCTGTAGGTATAAAAAAAATTCCAATAGGCTCTTATGACACATAATATAATTATAGACTTCTGTGAAAGTTAAAACATTTTATCAAGGTCCAAACAACTTAAATTATATTTAAAATATTTTCACTTAAAAAAATAAAACTTATTCAAAAAATTATTCGCATTCAAAAAATATATTTATAATTCCTATGTATTTGTTTGTTTCTTAATCTAATTATTACTAACATTTTAAGTATACGATACATTTGTTCACTTGGTAGTTAAAGTGTACAGCGAAATTCATAACATATTTTTATGCTTTTTCAGCAATAAAATATATTTATTTAATACGCGTTTTACCGTAGTAAATATTAAATTGAATGTACCTCCGTTCTATTCAACTAAATTTAATTACATTAATGCTTATAACAATATAAAATATTGCTGAACTTAAAAATGTATATAAATTATATATTACCTGTTCTAAAACGTATTTATTTTAAATTGAAATAGGTAGCGTTCGAATTAAAAATTAATTATTTATATTCTACAAGAATAAAATTAAACAAATTTATTAAATGACAACATCATTAATAATTTTAACTATTTTGTTTTGTTTGGGTTAGTTCATTCATGCTGAGTATGCACACCCATTGCTAATCTCAACAATGAAATTTTGTTATAAGTATAGTGTAAAAAAATAAATAACAATAAGAAATAAACTTATTGTAGAAATGTACTATTTGATTTTATTTAACTCGGAAGTTTAAAATTGTTATTCATTAGTAATAAATTATAGAATTATAGATTATAGTTTTCTAATATATATGTTTTTTAATTTAATTTAAGAATTATTTGTATGAATACAGCTATGGTTCTTTTAAAAGCAACATTTTTAAATTTAAATTTATTTTATTATTTTTTATTTAAATTTTTAAATTCATATAAATAATTCACAAATACACAATATATCAGATTTAAAAAATGATTAAAAACTTAAAAGTTCAACGTAGAATAGTGATATTTTATTTATATGATTTTAATGATTTCTTGATTGAAAAACTAACATTGGTTTTCTAAATAATCGAATTAATCATATAATAATAATATAATTGTTCCTTTTATAAAAACAAAATCATTTTTAAAGATGGAAAGAGTGTTATCCGTTAGAAATTTAAAGTCTAACTGATGTTAACTTTTAAACAAAATGTTCACTACAAAACAGTCACGTAAAAAAAATAAATATGCGTATATAGCGAAATGTATACAAAAATATCTAATACTAAACTAAAATAAGAATTTTCTAAAAACGAATGTGTTATTGGTTGGCCGATGAATTATTGTAACAATTATTTAAATATCTACCTACTTGAAATTGTATCGTACATAAACATATTTAAAATATTTCTATCGATTTTTATTTGTTTGAAGCATGAAGATTGATGTATGACATTACTTCTCAATATAAAATAATTATAATTTACGAGTAAACGACAATCAAATAAAACTGACTCATCAATAAATTCTATTCGAAACGATCATAAAGATTTTTAAACACGTATATTATGGGATTGGTGCATTTTGCCAATAATGACTATTCCCAAACATGTATTAATAACAAATTGTGTATAAATAAGTGTAAGTATAAGTATGTTAAATTTATTATGGTTAATATGAACCAGAAATTTCTTTAACTTTTCTCTATATTTGTAATAGATAAATCTCTTTATACATAGTATAAGAAGAAAATGTAATAATACACGTAATTAGTTTAAAATTTCAATATCAATTATATTTAAAATATTTAATACGTACTTGAAATCGCATATTTAACTAATAATCTATGTTTTTATAAGACCTATGTACGTACGAGTAGGAATAACCCAATTTCATTAAATTATGTGTTTTATTAATAAAAAAAAAAATATATAAAAATAAATAAAAATAAAATGTTAATATTGAAAAAAACACAGAAATTAATTTTACCATTTTTGATTTAGTATTAACATTATATTATTATACGTAAATGGTATAAATTTAATAATAATACATGCATTTTTATAAAAATATAAGATGACATACGCATAGAATTTATGAAGTAGGAATTATAAAAATTCTGTACTGTTCAATTTTGATACTTACATTTTTTTAAAATAAAATACGCTTTAATAAAATGTTAGAGGTATATTATTATACATTTATAACCTTCAAATATTTTATTATTATTTTTTCGGTACTTTTTCATATTTAAAATGTATGCTTAATAGTTTATGTACTTATCTGAATAAGAAAAGAACATGATTTTATACATCAATAATTTTTAGGCTATCTGTAAACTTGTAGATGTACCTTAAAAATATAATATCTTTTCGAATACTATTAAATTCAATTCAATAAAATATTTTTTAACTAAATATATGAAAGCACAAAAACTCTATTCAGCTCTTCACGAATTTTCCAAATTACCAACAATTTATATAGTCTCATTTCAAACAATTGAGTACATACAAAATATTTCTTTTAAATGTGTATAGTTTAAAATAATAAATCAATATTGCATGTGTGCAAACCCATTGCTACGTGTATGCGTACATTTAAGGAACGTTTTATAAAATTTATAATTTTCGTTTTCAAGCGTCTTTGATTATTATAACAATGGCTTGAAAAATAAAGTTTTTCTTCGGAGTCGGGTTTTTCAATTGTACATAAATTATTCATACGTGAACTATACTATTATGTATGTGAACTATTTGTATATCAAACTAGTTATTACTAACAACGAGACATCTCACATTGAGTAAAAAATTTAAGTTCTTCTAAAATATAACTTAAACGCCATAAAAATCGATCATCAAATCTTTACCTCGTCTCAATTTTGACATTAAACAACGGAGATTTTTTTTTTTTTTAAGGATGCTCTTTTATTTCTAAACTTCAAATATACCCATATAACTTTAGGATTATACCACTTCGACGACGAGCTTAAAATCATATATTTTGGATTCATCAACATTTTTGATATTAATAATATTAAGTTATTAACGAAATGTTTAATATTCAGAAATCGTGTGTGTTCATGTTCAACAAACAGAGTTTCAAGCACTTCTGATAAATGTTATACACGTAGAAAAAACCAATCCTGGGTCGTTGTAACATTGAATCGGTTCAACAGTTTTTATGAAAATAATTATTAACTATACGCGTGCTTGTTGGTCGATCAGTAAACGGTAAGATTGTAAAAATTAAGGATTTCGTCGTAAAACCAACCAGGTAGAGGGTAATTTCGTGCACAAGGCATTCGACGTAGGAAAAAAGAAAATAAGAATTAATTATAATAAACTAATAACGGGGGGGGGGGGGGGGCACGGAACGCTGTCGATTATTTTTCTCCCCGGTACGCAAGTTTTACGATGTACCACGTAGACGCCGTAAAGGCCAAGGGGCGAGCGCGAGTTTGAAAGTCGGTAGACGAGACGACGACTCGTGGCATCCGGTAATTTCGTTCCGCTGCCACTGGTAACACTGCCGGGGCGGCACGAGAACCCGCCGTAGCCGGCGTTTTCGTCCGCGCGCGCCACCACCACCGGCCACCTCAGACCCCGTCGACACCGCCAAACAACCAGCCGCCAGCCAGCCGACCAGCCTAACGCGGCACCCGACGCGCGAGTACTGTTCAGTTCCGCCGCGACCGGTGCTCTCGTCCGACACGCGTGCGCTCATACGATTCCCGTCCTCGCATCGACAAAAACGTGCGCTCAAGGTAGACGTCAGAACGGTTTATTTTTCCCTCGCATCGCGTACGTGTACTACTGTTTCGTCCGAAGGAGTTTTTTTTTTTTTAGTTTTTTTTTTTTTTTATACATTTCTCTTACGCAATATTTTACCGGCCGCCGGATCCTCCGTCGGCGTCGCGTTAGCAGCGGGGTGTTCCGTCCGTTTTCACCGGTCTCTTGTCGCGCGGGATCCCCCGGCACCTGAGCACACCCCGCGCGCTTGACCGTCGTGCAACCATGCAACCGAGCAACGGGACCAAAGACGCGCCGGCCGCGGAGAAGACTTGCGGCGCGACCGGCGGTTCCGGCAACCAGCAGTTCTGCCTGCGGTGGAATAACTACCAGAGCAATCTGACCAACGTGTTCGACCAACTGCTGCAGAACGGCACGTTCGTGGACGTGACCATTGCGTGCGACGGGCACACGCTCAAGGCGCACAAGATCGTGCTGTCCGCGTGCAGCCCGTACTTCCAGAGCATGTTGGCCGAGAACAAGTGCAAGCACCCGATCGTCATACTGAAAGACGTGCAGTGGCCGGAGCTCCGGGCCGTCGTCGACTTCATGTACAAGGGCGAGATCAACGTGTACCAGGAGCAGATCGGGCCGTTGTTGCGCGTCGCCGAAACGCTGAAAGTCCGCGGTCTGGCCGACGTTAGCAACGAGCAGCTCACCGGCGGCGGCGGCGGATGCGAACCGCAAACCGCGGCCACCGTGGTGACTCCCACGACTATGGCTCCGGAATCGCCCAAACAGCCGGCCCGCAAGCGGCACAGGCTGTCGCCGCCGGCGGCCAGCCCCGAGTCGATAGTCACCGAGATGGGATCCGCGGCCGCGGACACGCCGCTCAACTTGCACCACATGCCACCGCCACCGGCTCCCCACCAGCAGCAAGCGCAACCGCCGTCGTCGCACGTGCACCAGCAGCACCAACAGCAACAGCAGCAACACCAACAGCACCAGCAGCAGCAGCAACAGCAGCAGCAGCAGCAGCAGCAGCAGCAGCAGCAGCAGTCGCAACAACCACCGCCCACGCAAACGATGCCACCGTCCGCGTCGTCCGCCTCGTCGTCTTCGTCGTCGTCGTCGTCGTCGATACCGCCACCGAGCAGCGTGGCCGACGACCTGGAGATAAAGCCCGGCATCGCCGAGATGATACGCGAGGAAGAACGAGTGAGTGACTGCTATTTTCATGTTCTCGGTTCACGTTTTCTGTTCCTCGCATTTGTAAACTATTTTACGATCGTTATGCACAACGGTAGGAAAAAATAATAGTACAATGTTTAAACATAAATTATCACCAGCTCATCGTTTGGATTCGTTTAACGGGGGATCGACGATATTTTTCGTACCGATATTGTGTTTTAAGAAATATTTTGTTCTCAAGTTTTCTACCCGGACGTCTATTTTTAAGATTAATTTATATTTATTTATATACATAGATCCTATAATCGTACGATATTAATAACGGACCACACAGTGCTTGTGCGCGTATATATTTGTGGTTATATAAATGTACGTATATTTATATATATATATATATATATATATATATATATCGTGTGTAACCACCCGTCTGCCCCGCGCACTCCCCCTCGCTCGCGCCAGCACATAGTTAAATGAGGCAAGTTGAATTTATTGCCCGCCCGCCCGCCCGCCCGTTAACCCTATTTATTATTATTATTAATATAACAATAACAATGGCAGAATGCGCCTCCGCGTACTACGGTGACGTCACCGCTCACCGCCGCCGACGCCTCACCCGACGCCGTAATTTCGTTCACACAACTTTTCGAAGCTTTCACCCGAACCACCCCACACTGCCCCGCTCGTCCTCCTCGACGTTAATTTTTTTTCTCTCGGTTATTTTTTTTTATTTTTTTTCACCTATATACCTGTATATGTTTCGTATACATTTTTTCGAACGTACTCTTGTGCGTTCCCTCGCAGTTCCACCGTCCGGGGTTATATCACGTGCGCAAGCACATACGTTCGTGTTATGTTAATAATATTATAAATTATATAAAAATGTCGAACGATAGAAGTGGTACGGCAGCAATTCGTTCGAGATACGACCCGTGGTGGTAATTATTTATAATTTATCTGGTATTTATTTTTAATATTTTTTTATCAATTTAATTATTATTATTATTATTATTGGTCAAATCGTGTACCAATTTTAATCACGAATTCGTCGAATTATTACGGTGTTAATAAAATATACCGGATTGCTGAATAAAACACGTATACGACCGTGCGTACCATTGTAATATTTTTAATCCGTTTGCGTCATTTTCGTTCCTCGGACCACCACGTGAAAAATGTAATTATGTATTACGCTACACATGTGAATCGCGCGCACTGTGAATCTCCGCGATGTTTTATTAATATACGTTAACGATCACCACCAGGTTTAAGCACCCGCGGCCGGTTTTAAAAATATCTATTTTTATTCCTTAAGTATTCGTGCAATGTGTTTTTGACGTTCGGTAGGAGGGAAAAGGCGCGCACGGTTGTTCGTACAAATTGTCAGATTGTTGTTTTTGTGTATAATTTTTTTTTTTTCTCAAGAGTCGTGTTTCTCTCGCGCTCCGCAGAACTTGTTGATAGGTTCATCTGGTGGATTTTAAAAAAAAAAAAAAACGTTAATTTTAGAAATATTTCCTATAAGATTTATAGCGATTTCAAAAAATATCGTTTTACCCTATGTTTCTTTGCCAAAATTCAACTACCGCTTGATTTTAAAATGTATTACTATGAACGGGTTATAAAACTTAAAAAAATATTCATCAACAATCATAAGATTAACCATTCTGTTAATGTTCCGTACGTTGTACGACATGAACACTGTATGTACTTCGATGTATTTTTTTTTTCTTCAAAGAGGAGTAGGAGAAATCATGCCGAAGCATTTAAACGGAAAATGTTCTTAAAACTACTCACCGGAAAAAATATTATTGATTGATGAAAAAAAAAAAAATTATCTCCGCTTCTGTTATTGCTCTAAGATATTCGAAAATATGCTCATAAAGTGTCTAAAAGCTTTCGTCGAACAATAAATCTGTCGTGTGTGGTGTGTTACTTTGAATTATTTAGTGTATGCTCACCGGATTGTAATTTAAACCGACCTTAGGGATAATGTGCTAAAGGTAAAAAAATCCTCTTTCCGAGTGGATTTAAAATCTTAATGACTTGTTGCAAAAGTATATGTATATATATATAGCATATTTATATATTTAATGTGATTTTACTCGGCATGTTTGCAATACAACAAAAACAAAAGAAAATGCCGTCTAGTGAATCATTTAAGTTTTATTGTTATAATAATGAAATAATTGTGATTTTGGTCGGGACAAACAGAAATGAACAAACTTAAAAAGCTGTCGGTTGTAAAAAACACCTTTACATCGCAAGATAAAATCAATTGTGTAGGAAAATATTTAAGGGTCTCTAGAAGTTTGAAAATAGCATCCCTTTTACCGACGGGTTCACCCCTGACCTACAAGTTGTAGTAAAGGCCATGTGTTTTTGATTCATCTTTTTATTCTACTTGAAATGTACTCGTATTTAACTGACATTTATCACTGTAAACTTCGTCGTAGAATTTTCAGTATTCGATTTATATTATTAAGTATTTTGTAAATGTACAATACAAGTGGATCAAAAGGTATTTTTCAAACTAAAATCGACAATTAATTTTTTTTAAAAAACATTTTATACTTTTCAAACATTTTGTTGTGTTATTTGTTAATAAATAAAAATACGAAAAGATTCGCAGTACAGGAGATGAATAGAAACAGTAGCAATTTTCCAGTCATCATTTCGAGGACGACAAAAACGCTTATATTTTTATTATTATTATTTTTTTTTTTTTTATTGCTTGGAATCACTACAAAGCATTACTCCATTTTTATTATCATTTGGTGAAAGTTGACATTACTTGAAATTTACGAAAGAATGAATATTCATAGCAGTCGGTTATGTATGTGTAATTTCTGAACCTTGGTAACATATTTTCCAAAATACAAACCATCAACAAAAATGATCTACTTAGTCTTTTTTAATTATCAAATTTTCATTTGAATACCTATGGTAGCAAATATTTGATCATAGTATTTCTATAAAACAAAATTCGGTTTATTCGAATTTCATACATTATAATATATTTTTTTGTTTACGATCTATACTTAATAATAGCAATCGATCACCAAATTTTTTAAATTTTTTTCTGTGATGCAAGAAAAATATGAAAAAACCCATAATAGTATAGAAAGATATAGGAAATATATAATATGTATGTGTTCTATGTTTAAATGGAATACAGATGTCTGTATATCGAGCTGTTTTCTACTGACCTAAACGAATCGGTTTTGTGTTTTTCGTAAATAATTAATGCCTAAGAATAAGTAAACTTCCGTTTAGATTGCAAATAACGCCTAAATTTATTATAAACACAACCATCAGCAAAATTCATAAATAATTTATTTTATAAATCTCCGGTAGCCCAAGTATTTTTTATCATTGTTATTATGTTAAGTATTTTGCAATACCTCAATGTAGGCCAATCCAATAATAATACATAGCCTATTGTTTTATATTTATGTTCGTGGGAAACAGAACATTTATTACTAGGCTGTTATGACCTAAAGGTATGTATATTTGACAAATTATACTGCCAACAAAATACAGATTACGTTTACATTAATTCTAATATTGTATTAAACCCGACATGAATTTCCTATATATTTTAACCAATTCTGGTATGTATTTATCCGTAAACAATAAAATAATACCATATTTTATAGGGTTTTGATACTAGTTATGTTTCGACACAAATAATTTTTATTTTAATATAATTATACTATTTTTTTCTGATTATAAACAAAAGTAAGTTGTTTGTTCATACCATATTAATGTTCGCGAGATGGAATTTAATTCTTATTATCTTAATATGTAAACATAACTAAAACCTTAGTTATAAAATGTAATCACACAAATCACGAAGCTGGTCTTCTAAGTCCTAATGAAAATAATAAACGTTAGAACGTAGACATAATAACCTACGTATGTTGGACTCAGTTGGTCAATTTAAAATATTAATACCGTCTTTAATAATTTTTTGGGTTTTTTTTTTTATTATTTATCAAGAGAACTAATTTTGGATTATGATACACAATTTATAAAATAGTATATTTTTACTTTATATGTATGATTTGTATTTGGGTATTATACTGTTATTCGGATCACAACGAATTCCATTTAGTAGAGTTTATTTTTATTTATATAATATTTGTATAATAAATTATAATCCACAGAGATCAATAAATTTAATATGTATATATGTATATATATTTATTGTCTGTAGCACATCCCCTCGGTGATGGAATCGAAGAAAAAGAGGACAAGTAGTGTATCTGGAAATTATAATTTTAACGGAATAAAAACGAAGAGTTTTCTTTTGTAATACAATTATCTCTTCGACCAGTTCTGTCTTCTCGTAAAAGCTGATTGGGGGGCTTATTTATTTAAACAAATTAAACTTAATTTCTGGAATTTGTAAAACTTTAAACTAAAAAAACAAACCTTCGGATATGCCGTTTCTCGGCACAATGATAGAGATTAAAACCCCTAAAGGCTGGTACTGACTATAGTTTTAATTAAAACATTATTTTTTTTTTCGTGGAATATTTTATTCAGATTTATACACAAATCCATGCTGCTGTGATGAATATTATAAATATTTATTATCACGTTGTCCCCGGTAGAAAACACGTATATATATATATATATGTGTGTGTGTGTGTGTGTGTGTGTGTTTTATGTTTAATGTATATGCTGGGGAGGGGAGAATATATTGATTACGAGAGAGGCATTTTACAATTTACACAAAAATAAATAGAATAAAACCAAAATAACCCTCTTTATGATTTTATCTTAGGTTACTAAGAATACTTTGTGTATGTTTATTTTTTTAAAATTTATAAAAATACCTTTATCTGTTCTAGTATTAATTATCATAGTAACTAAATGATAATTGTTGATTTACAAAAATTGTTAGTATGTTCACTTGACGATATATTTTTTCACTTTTTTCCTTTTTTTGAACTTTTTCGACCAACTTTAGCGTGACTAAAGACAATTTAATAATAGTATGTTCGTTATCAGCTCTCTAA